GTCCCCACGGGGATATACAAACCAGACTTGTCTGCGTGTATGTGTGTGTGTACTTGCTTTTACTACAGAGTGAGGACCATTTGTGCCATAGTTACCATCAAAGTGAGGTATTTGATGTAAAGTGAGGACCTCTTCAATGTCCTCACTTTGTTTGCAGCTCTGCTGTGCTTCACTAGTTAAGTTTAGAGGTATGTTGTGAATTAAGTTCTGGTTCAGGTTAGTGTTAACTATAGACCAGCAATGGTTAGTTTTAGGGAAAATGTCTGGGTTAGGCATAAATACAGTTGCAAAAATGAATGGAAGTCAATACAAAGTCCTCAGTTTCATGCAAATACAAGGATGTGTGTGTGTATGTGTGTGTAGGAGCAAATATTTGTTTGAAGCATGAAGGGTTTAAAACGTTAATCTTTAACACTTAAAGTATGTTTTGAGGTTAAATCCAACACAACTAATTTCAACTCAACACCTATCAAACTTGCTGATTTTTWACCATCTAATAATTTCTTTCACTACAATCTGTCTAGTACTTCTATAATTTGCCCRCAGAATAAGAATAAGGAACGCTGATTGACTAAATATGGTCCAAAGGTCCATCTTCTCGACATGGACTCTAAAGTTAACAAATGTTTGCATTAAGTGACAGCCTGAGCTCTGCGGGGAGGTGGATGTGATGAGAAGTGTTGATGAATCTCCAGGGCAGGGTTTTYTAATGCTGGGAGGATAGATTAAAACACAGAGTAATGAAACACTTCTGACTGACAAAGCAGAATGAATGTGCTGATAAATGCAAMTGAAGAGGCGAAAGGAGGAACTCAGACTGAGTGCTATTCTTGGTCAAAACAAAAACAGTACTGCTGATGTCTGCAAAACTGAAGCGCGTCTACGCCGTAGTCTGTCTGCAGATCTGCCTCAGTGACTCATGTGATGTGTGCTTTTAGTGTTTCGGTGTTACGGACAGCTCTAAGGGTCATTGACCCAGAAGAAGGAACAATAATTTTCCATGCTGATTTATTATATAAACAGTATTCATACGGGACTCGTTCCATCCCAACAAATCCTCCCAGTTTCTGTGAAGTATTTCTTTAGTAAGACTTTTTCTTGTTGCTACTTTAAACATTCAACTTTCTTTAACCCACATTTTAAATAAGTGCGGTAAGATTGTCTTTTTAAAGTTTCTAGAGTTTATTTGGTCAAGCATAAAAACTTCAAAATAATCACTGCGGCTTGAAAATATTTGTATTTTCAATCTTAAAGTGCTACTTCAGATATTTTGAAGTGGGGTTCTKTKRGAAAGTTGTGAACAGTCAGTATCTTATCTGTTGTAGATAGCTCTTTGAAWGGCCTCAATTTGAATAAATAAAGTATAATTTTGACTAAACTGACCTGCTTCATCTGACCATGGTGGACTGCAAACATTGGTTCATGCAAAAACTATTTGATTGACCTTTAGTTACATATAATTATAGTTATAGCACTTCTTATGCAACCTGCATAAATATTATATTATTTTTAATCAAAATAACACCATAAAGTCAAACAAACAGCATTGTAAAAGTTTTTAAAATGGCACATGAACCACTATAGAACTAGCAGCAGTTTTCCACTTTAGCCTTGGCCCCGCTAACTGTTAGCTCTCCAGTCAGAATGACTTTATTTTTGCCAAAMTAAGRCCAGTTAAATATTTTTCCACACACAAAAATATAGTTAAACATTGGATTTTAACCTGTTGAGTCCTATAATTATGACTGAAGTTTTCACATGATTTCTCTTATTTCAATAAAACCCATTAAATAAACTAGGAGGGTGGGCCCAAATGTAATGAGTGTTATAGGACATAAAGCAGGGCTAATCCACTAAAGTGCTCAGGGAACCACAGTCCCACAGACATCGGGGGTAGCCATTTATGGTTGAGGAAACATTGCATTGCATGTAAAAGAACAAGTTTATTAGCTTTTATCTTTTAAATCTGTTGGTTTTGTTACACTGAATCATAAATTATTTTTTAAGTGATTTAAAATCTATTGTTAAATTAAATTAAGAGAATGTATATTTTTTGGGGGAGTGGGAGAACGGGCCCTCATTGGGCCTCATTTGGCAGCACGACGGCTCAGTGGTTAGCACTGATGCCTCACAACAAGAAGGTGCTGGGTTCGATCACCAGTTCGGACCTGGGGTCTTTCTGTGCTGACTTTGCATGTTCTCCTCGTGCTTGTGTGGGTTTTCTCYGGGAACTCCGGTTTCCCCCACACCACAAAAACACATACAATAGGTTGCCTTCARGCCCAGGCCTCCCTTGAAAAAGACATTAACGATCTCAATGGGATTTGCCTGGTTAAATAACGGTTTAAAAAATGGTGGGCCAGACAAAAGTCACCTGCAGGCCGGATGTAGCCTGTGGGCTGCCAGTTGAATAGCCCTATTATACAGGTAAATACCATTTGGCAGTAAATAACAGTGTAATTTTCTGGTCATATCATGTTAAAGTTTATTTTATGTCTTTTGTATATAAATTGTTACTAAATATGCAACTGAAATACTTGATTCATCTAAAGTAGGAATGTCTAGTAAAGCCAACACGTCTCATTTTCTTTGGATCGGCAAACGCAAAGTGACAGTTTATGTGCATTACATCACAACGTTGCAGTTTTAAAGAAGAGACATGTTTAATAAAATCGTAAGACTAATATAATTACCCAGTAGTTTGTCTGTCTTTTATAAGCTATGATGGTTCACAGTATTCATGGCCTGTACACACTCACAGTGGATAAGGCAACACAAACACACACTTGTAACAAGCTGGACAGCAGAGGTTCTGTCTTCAGWAAGACACTTCATCAGCAAAGAAGATGAAAGCAATAAAAGATGAGAATGAAGAGGGGAAAAAATGCAAGAGATGAACGAGAAACTATGAGGGGACTCGCTGAGGATTAACTGAGGAGGATTTGTGGGATTAAAGYAGATGAAGTGTCCAGTGAGAAGGAATTACTGGGAATAATGGGATAACTGTTCCCTCACATGACCGGCCACTTGTCTTGTCTTTTTTTTTTTGTTTTGTTTTTTGTTTCTCATTTCAGCCAACCAGGCCCTGCTGTTGCATCGTACATTTGTGTGTCATCATGAGTGAGTGACTTTTGAGGTCCGGTGCGTGACACACACACACACACACACACACACACACACACACAC